TTCACAATGAGGCTATATAAAACCTATTTAGACAATTATTCTTATAACGTCCTCCTATAAATAACAATGTGATACATAATTCAATATTATTTTGATATCTTGGATTGTTACTTACTCCCAAATGTTCATTGCTCCTGATATGTGTACATCTTTTCCAGCTGCTATTCCAAACAACCATGCTAACCCTGCTAGGAAACACGAACGAACGGTATGACCGACTCTTAGCAAATTGTAGAAAGCTCTAGAATGTCAGACCACGTGCCGTCATCTTGTAGAAGTTTCTAGAAAGCGCGCCCTAAGGGTGCGCGCTCGCCGAACTTTCCCATACTTATACGACATTTACTTAGTCGTAATCTGGCTTCTTATAAAAAGTATGCTTGTAATAAATTGATGTAATCATAAATTAATCAAAATAGCCCCAGCTTAAGTTTGTTTAAATTGTCCCCTTAACCTACCTTCAACCAATCAACATTGGCGGACACAGCCTTGACGTCCTTGGCACCTCGAGAAGCTATAAATACGTGCGAGGATTAACCTCCAACGACCCTGTGGCAGGCCACCAACCTTTGGACGTGGGACCTCTGTCACTGTCTTCACCGGATCCCTGCGCCTCCATCAACCTCTCCTGCACAATCGTGCTTGGCCCAGTTTATCCTTGTAATTAGGTTTCCCCTTTAGTCTCTTATTGTATATAGGACACTGAGTACATAGTAAGTGCTAGAGCCTTACTTTCCTTGGGCCGCCTTTGGTACTGACATTCGGGCTCGTTACAAATTGGTGGCAGCGGTGATCATTATGTCTGACAATCTCGTGCACATATTCGTGAAGGAGCTTCAAAAGCTGGGTTTGGCACAACCGTGCGCACCCATGCCTGAGAAACTCTCGAGAGTTACTGACTTCGAGCGATGAGAGTCGCGGGTTAGGGACTATCTCCGCGGGGTTACGGCTCAGTCACGAAGCAAGACCATCATGGCCCTGCTGGACGACGAAGTCAACGACCTCGCACGGGCAGCAGATATCTCCGCTTTCATGTCGGAAATGCCCAAATAGACTGACAATCGGCAACTAGCTGTCACCCAAATTTACTCAACTCGAACATAATTTTAATGCCAGGCAGATGTTTAAGTTCTTCAAGTTCCATGAAGGGCGATATATTCATGACCCAAATCCAACAAAAATCCAAACTTCAATATCTATTTTGTATAAAATGTACCCTTTCTAACTTTTTTTTTATTTTGCCCTGGAATTCGAGTTTTTAAAATTGAAAACAAACTCTGAATTCGCACTTTATTGACTAAGCAGACACCCAAAACCAAGGAATTCAAAGTGTAGCCGAATCGGATGACTTTGGTTTAGGTTTTTCCCTGTTTCCAAAGGAGACTGACAGTGTCCATGAGAGGCTATGATAAACCTATTCTGTTCTATTTGGTGTCTGTTCCTTGTATGTTTTCTGAGATATCTGTAGTGTAATTTTGTGTCCTATGTTGCTTCTGCAGCAAGCTTTTCTCGAATTCTTATCGCCTCTTCACGACCATGCTTTTCTGTTTGTGTCTCTGGCAATTGTAGGCGTTTAAATACTTAGCTTGCCGAGTGACGCGGTATTTTCCCCAAAAATTTGGCTTCCTATTAAGTCACTGCCTGAGCTGCTATTTAGCCACCCAGGCTTCTTGTTCTGTCTTACACTTTTCAGTGGACCGGGGTTGTTGGTGGGTTGCATTCTCGGACAACTCCCAATCATTGTTGTCATTGCCCGCCAACATTTGAGCTCCGGACATGACGGGATAAGCCTGCCCTCATCTGGTCCTGGCCTCCCCGCCAAATGTCACATCCTTTTTGATCTTGATTGTGAAAAATGGGGAATAACGAATAATCCCTTATAGGCACTGCATGGTCACTTCGGCCGATGTGCCGCATGGAGATGACCCCATCCATACCGTCTGATGTTTGATTAAAACCAGATGCAGCAGTAAACTCTTTGTCATTCACGTGTTCTCGTTGAAAACATAACATGTTGTGCATGGAGCGCTTCTAATGTTTTGTCCAGCAAACTGTCTTCGAATGCCAATTTCGGACCCGACATTGTAACAGTGTTACATTTAATTTCTGCTGCGTCTTCGTCTTCCGCTGATCTCCTATGTCTTCCCTGACGGAAGACTGACTTCGGAAGCACGTTGAAGCCAGTCTTAGTAATAATTCGAACTACACTATGCTGTATACACCGTTAAGCATCTTACAGCGATTTTCTGTGAGCCGCAGCGAAGGAGAAGGTTATCCTTGGTATTTTGGTTCGCAAAAACTGAGGCTAATTGCACATCTTGGCTGATTTCTCGACTTATTTTGACGGAGAATGACTTCGAGCGAGAATGGATTACCGAAATGTCAAAACACATGAATACTAACCAGGCACAAGTAACTGCGGACATCTGTCTCATCTGACGGGTTCGGCCATTTTTGGATTTCTCTGACTTTGTCTGTCTAAAATTACATTCCCAGATAATTCAACGCACGGTCGAATAAAGACTCACTTCAAAGGCTTGAGGTTCAGACCGCCTTGCCCGATATTGAGGAATGCCGACCGATGGATCTGAGCGCCGGTGGTCGGCGGATCGACGGTCGACATCAATTCCTTTTCTGATAACAGAATCCGACAATTCGACCGTCGTTACGGACCAGGCCAACCATGTGCTCCACAGCCGGTTGCGATCAAGCAAATTGACTAGTGCATGAATTAATTTATAGTGAGGGTAGAGTTGCACATGATATGCGCACATTCCCATCCTCCCCACTTGGGCCAGATGTCAAGGCATAATGAAGACGACCGTAGGCGGGTGAGGGCACCACATCCCCTGGTCCACAACAAGCAACTGACCTGGATTATGACCAGCAATATCAAAATAACTGGTCAGGCAGTTTAAGACGGCTGGACGACTCTGCACACGGTCCTTTAAACATTGGGGGGACGCGAGTGCATCTATCGACAGGGAACCGGATGCCAGAGAACTTCCAGCGCACGCCAGGCTGCCAGGGCCATGGTTTGATAAATCAGGACATAGCAGACGCATACAATCCTTGAAGTCCAGAGGAGCGAGAGGTATTCCTGAACTTAGCCTGGGCTATCAGCATTCAATGCCGGGGTAATCAGGTAGTCATCGACTGTGAGGCACTAACCATACACACACACTCCTCACATTAGTGAGAGTGCCTGAGGTCACGTTAATTGGGAGACGTTGCAGCCTGATCCCCAGCCGATCAGTCCACTACTCCGCAGAGACACACAGTGCCTGGACTTGGTCGGGGCGTCATTTAGCAGCCTTCCAAACCACGGCGCTTGACGCATAGTGATAGTCTCAGCCTCCAATCCCACATGCAGCAGAGGAGCCACATATGCAGAGAGCCGAAAGGACACACCAACTAGACAAGTGAGAGGTGAGTACTTGCTTCTTATGGCGATGGGTGATGCCGCTGTGTGGTGAAGGTGCATGAGGAGGAAGGTTTGACTCACATGAGAGCAGATGTAAGATTGTCCGGACAGTAACGTCCACATCGGCTTGAGACCATACAGGGTCTGCTGAAATTCCAGCCCGCACTCAAGGTGTCCATGGGATCGGTGACGAAACTCCGAAACACCAGCCACGAGGGTGTGTGGGCGCTAAGGATTCAGCGGCGTCCTCAAAAGATATCAGCGTCGGATATCGTGCAGACAACATAAGACACCCGGCTCAGGCCATATGCGTCGTCATTAAATTGGGAGACTACAATAACGCTGTTAGACTGTGTATTCATATTTCTGGTGTAGTCCGACATGCGGGAATCCCAGCGGAAAAACTCTCCTGACTAAATCGGCTTGATAGGCACACTGCCCAGCAGAAGGTGTCGGACCCAGCTTTTGCAGCACCTTCACAAGTCAACTGTTGTGGCTGCCCGTCATGCTGCTTGCCACGCCGCCGGCACGACCATGTAACAGACTCCTCCAGATCGAGGTCTGGTCGAAAGAGGAAGAGATGAGGATGAATAGTTAAACGATAGAAATCTCACTAATGCTAGCCCATATTCAATCAATGCTTGGAGTCTTACTGTACAAGGACTGGGCAAAGGAGTTCCGTTTCTGGTTTGCACAAACGGCAGGGCTAGGGCGTCCACGTTAATCTAAGGTTAGTTTTTCGGCCGTATTTACTGGGCCTCGCCATTTGGGAAAGTCAGGAGATTAGATTACGCCTTTCTAATTGTTTGAGAGGCATCTTGACGACCAAATAGAGCAAATTAACGTCAACATCTTTCACCTCGATATGTGTTTATGACGTTTTCCGTTGAGTAATGTTACAGACAAGCCAAATTATAACAAGACACTACGATTTGACTCACCAATTTGTGCAGTCAAAAATGGTTTTGTTAACAACTGCCCAATAAATAAAAAGGGAGATCGCGTGTGTAACAGATAATAGATCTGTTAGAGTTGTTTGACTGAGGTGACACTTTTGGCGTCGATTCAGGACGGGAGTGGTGTCACAAACCTAACCGCTCCATGGTACCATATTTTCTTCCAGTACTATTATTTCCTCATTCTGGGTCACGTTTCAAGTTAAGGACAAACACTGACAGCCAACACGGTCCAATAGCAATCCATTTTTCTAATTATTCACCTCGTTTCCGCAGCCGGCTGCGTCCCCCTCCCCTACTCTAGTAGCAAATCCATAGCGAGTTGACGGCGCCTCGCTGTGGAAAAGTCGCGATACAATGACCGATTTATAGCGGATTTTGTCCATATGGTCGCTATGTAAACAATGGCGAAAAGTCGCGATACGGCAGTATGCAGCTGCGGGACGGCATTCCTTAGCGACCTTTCAGTTTTAGCACCCAAGAAAGCTCTTTTTCCCACCTACCATCCGATTTAGTACTAAACGAACTGCGGAACCCCCTTCCCCCGATAGTTGAAGGAAGGCGTTGTGACATGATAGAAGTAATGATTTATTATAAAAATAAAAAAACAATTAATCTGGGAACTAATCCTCTCGCGGCCGGGACGACGTGGGTTCTGTTGAGGGTTCTAAACCAAGTATGTGTAATAATACTTCAGTTTCACTTACCGTCAGAGTCATCGATTAGGGAATCCGGCCGAGATCGCCTTTTCCGAAGAGCGTCCAGCGATCTCTTCAGCCGCCTTGTGAAGGCGGCCTCCAGTTCATAAGCATCCACTCTGCCTCCCTTGTTCCAGGCAGCATAAACGTCTGTTTTCCATGCAGAGTTACATTTAAGCAAGGGCCTACCCTTTATCACCTCGTAAACCTGTGACCCACACAGGCCCTCCTTTGTTTTTTTTCCGCGGAAATTGACGTGCATGCACGCCTCGTCATCAAAGAGGGCATAAAATACCCTCTTAACGAAGTCGTCGGTGTTGCGCCCACCGAGGCATACGAGGAAGTGCGTCTATGAATGTCATAAAGTTCGCTTAGCCTTACCAGCTGCGACTTAACCTGGGGGTCATGGAGTCTGCTGTTAACCTCCTGGAAGTCGGACTTTGTACTTATGGGCCGCCTTAGGGGATTGGTAGGAAAGGCGGCCTCCGTGCTTCCAGGGGCCGGTTGTCTCCGAATGTCATTAACCAGCATTGTATGCTGGTTTTCCAAGATTTTCAAGTTGCTTTTGATAACCCAGGCTAGTTGTTTACGCAGATACACGATGTGTTTGCCCTGTTTTTTTTTATCTCGGCCTGCATTTCAGAAATTATTGCCCGGCATGACGGGTCATAGCATACTGCAACGAAAATTAGTTTGATATAGCCTTACCTGTGTCTTTGCGCTCTCTTCTTGCAGGTAGAGTGTCTACTGATTCTTGATCGGAATCTCTTTCATCCTAAATAGAAACCGTTGTAAGTATATTGTAAGTTACTACCGGTGACATTGGCGGCTCGCCAAGTTCCCAGTATCGCTCATCTAACGGATTGCGACGTCGTCTTGTTGACTTTCGTCGAGCAGTCTCCTCGTCACTGGAAGACGTAGCCATGGATGTCTACAACCACACAGGGAAAAAGTAGTAGTTAGTAGCTTTACCTATAACTACGACCACTACATCCCTTTATGCTCGTTAACCACTAACTAGATACTGTGTGGTTGTAGGGTCAACGAGCATTGTCCACGGATAGGAAGGGATTGATAGTGGCAAAGGATGGCTGTTCATAGCCTAATATCTTCATTAATAGGTATGAGTTATCTAGAGGAAAGCAAACGTACTTAGAGAAGGTCATGGGAAAGTGTGCACAGTCAATTGTTTCCGAGATATCGGCTGTGTATACCTGTATGGATGATAACTCTGCAGGATACAGAAAGTAATCAGCAATGTTGGTGAATTCGCTGTATACTAGTAGAACCTGTCCTGTTCTGTCCAGAAGTATGTTCTTTACACACACACTATCTTGTCGCCGAGGGTTATGCACCCATTAGCGAAGGAAGTATCCACTCGAAAACCGGTGCCAACTATGCAGATGAACTGCTGTTGAACATCAACGCCCTCTGGAATCGGGCCTCTGGTGTGCTTACGCAGAAGCCGAAACTTTTGACCACTGTGTGTGCACACTCCTCAAATAAGACGGCAAGGCAAACAGATCGACTTCGTACGTAGACAACTGGCATGTCTCATAAAGAGCAACTTGCACATTCACGAGAACCATGCAGGCACTTGATAGTCGCCGAGCTAATGCTAAGTGACACTAATTTTCTTTGCAGTTTGCCATGACCCGTCCTGCCGGGCAATGATTACTGATATGCAGGCTCAGATGCGGCGACAAGGAAAAACGATTGAATTTATGCGTAAACTACTGTCCTGGCTCATAAAGAGCGATTGACGCATTCATGAGAACCTGCACATCATGCAGGTTAATGACAATCGGCGCAGCCGGCCCCAGAAAGGTCGGAGGCCGCCTTCCCTATCAACCCCCTAAAGCGGCCCATTTGTACCAAGTCCGACTCTCTGGAGGTCAGCAGTAGACTGCATGACCCCCAGGTCAATTCGCAGCTGGTAAGGCTTACCGAATTTTATGACATTCATAGACGAACTTCCTGGTATGCCTCGGTGGACGTAACACCGATGATTTCGTGAAGGGGGTATTTTATGCCCTCTTTGACGACGAGGCAACCATACATATAAACTTCAGGGAAAAAAGACTAAGGAAGGCCTGTGCGGCTCACGGGTGTATGAAGTGATAAAGGGTAGGCCCTTGCCTGTATGTAACTTTGCATACCAAATAGACGTTTACGCAGCATGGAACAGAGGAGGGAGGGTGGGCATTTATGAATTCGCGGCCGCCTCCACAATGCGGCTGAAGAGATCCCTCGACGCCCTACGAAAACGACGTTCTCAGCCGGATTCTATTCTAGATGACTCTTATGGTTAGTGGAACCAAACTCTTATTACACTTACTTGGCATAGAACCGTCAGCAGGACCGTCGTCGTCCCGGTCGCGTGAGAAGTGACGATGATAAATTTGTAATTTATATTTTCATAATAAATCCTTATTTTGTCTGAATAATAACGCCTTCATATTACTTTTTGGGGCAACATAGTAGTATAGTAATAGATTGGATGGGAGGTGCGGAAAAGAGCATTTGTAGATGCTAAAAGGGAAATGTCGCAAAGGGAAGGCGTCCCGCAGCTGCATAGCGCAGTAGCGCGATTTTTCACCGATGTTTCCCTAGCGACCAAACGGACAAAATTCGCTATAAATCGGTCATAATATCGCGACTTTTCCACAGCGAGGCGCCAACGTCTCGCTATGGATTTGCTACTAGGGTACTAGGGGAGGGAGACGCAGCCGGTTGCGGAAACGAGGTGAATAATTAGAAAAATGGATTGCTGTCGGGACCGTGTTGGCTGTCAGTGTTTGTCCTTGGCTTGAAACGTGACCCCGAAAGAAGAAATAAAAGTGCTGGATGATAAAAAGGTACCATTGGGCGGGTAGGTTCTTGACAGTGGTGTACTCACAGTGTATCGGCCCACGGTCTGTGTAGGGTTGCTTGAATGAAGAGACACGTTTTGATTTGCGGACCTAGGATGAATATGGCGCAGCGGCGTGTCGGTGAAAACGGCCGGTGCCCTTCCCTCTACCACCGACCCCCTCCCCGCACCATTTCATAATTCTTGCATCACACGCTTTCTCTCGGCGTCTGCGTCTCCCTTGACCCTTCCCAGCAGTTGCCTACAGCGCTGCGTTCCCCACCGGTTGATTAACTGGCATGTCACTGTCTCCACACCATTTCCACAGGTTGCTTCCTTGTTATAACTTCTCCCGTTTGCACAATTAACTGCCATTATATGTATTCCAGATTTCCATACCTTCCGTTTATATCATATTGTCTGCCTGACGTTTATTCTCCTCCTGCGTATGAATGGGTATTGCGAACATGTTGACAGCTTTATTCGGATTGATCTTAGTCCGGACCTCATCCCAGTGCTTAGATACCTCGGTGTATGCTATCCTTGACGTCCTCGGCCGCCATAGCAGTTAACCTTGCCCTGCCGCCGAACCGCATTGACCTGACACGTTAGAATTTAACTGGTAAACACTTACGTAATTCTCAGATTTGAATTTCCCCAGCAGCGTTTTTCTCCGTGGACGCAGGCGAAGTATATTTGCTTGTATTCGCTAGTAGCTAGGATATATATACTCGAAATCGCTTAGTATCGATTTTTCGAGATATGGACGGCGAATTTGACTGGTTAACATATGTCGCCTTGAAATTGATTTTTTGAGATACACGAAAACCGACGAAAGCGGAGGGTGTAGCTTTTATCCTGCCACATTACCTAGCACTACACCCTTTAATTTACCAGTTTTATTTACTCCCGCGCCTGTGAACCCAAATGCTGATTCTGTTTTTAACGCCCCGATCTCTAATACGTCTCCGTAGTTTTCAGCGGACGAAGAAATTTTTTTAAGACTGTAGATTTGGAAAATGTGTATTAAAGAAGCACGTAAAAGGAAGAAATATCTGCATATTTTTAACCGAGTTCATGTGGGCTTCAATGGTTATTGGCCCCGAAGCCTTGGGGACGAGTTGTAGTAGATTGCCCAGAGCAGACGAAAATATATGAAATAGTCTGCTAATCGCCCTACCGCATGGCTGGTGTGCAGCGTAGTCCTTTTGTACGCACTTCCCAAAGCAGTGTAATGAACGTTTCAGTCGCCTAGTAAAGGCGGACTCCATCTGGGACGGCGTGGCATTGCCAGTGCCGTTCCAGGTTACAAAGGCCTCTGCGTATGACAAAGTGACCTTCGTAATACGTGATTCCCCGTTGTAACCTCATAGACCGTTGACCCAAAGGCCGTCCTTTGAGGTTGGTATAAACGCTAATCTCGTCGTCGCAAATAGCGTCTTTTGACAAAGTCGTCCAGCGATCTGCCACCGAGACATCCAGGTTACGAAGTCTAGTGTGCTGTGTGCCAGGTGGACCATGTGGTCCACGGACAGTATACAACTATGGGAAATTTGGAAATTGCAGTTGACTACCCGAAATTTCCAAGTAGATAACTATATCCATTGATATTTTGGCAGATTTTGAATAATTCATATTGACCCAACTGTGAAAAACTCGGCTCCTCGGTGGGATTCGAACCCACACAGTAAGGGGGCAGGCTTTAGTACAGCCAGCGCTCTAACCACTTGAGCTACGAGGCCCCGCCGGACGACGCGAGTTTTATCACACTTGGGTCAAGTTACCCGCCCAAACTACTGCAACGTCTGGAATCCACCAAATCTGATACAGTAAGTTGACTGCCCAAGCAGGATTTCCTAAGTAATTCACCTAGAATCCACCAGATGACTACTAGGCTCACGTAATTCATTGATATTTTGGCAGATTTTGAATAATTCATATTGACCCAACTGTGAAAGATAACTATATCATAATCTATCCTCTAATACTCTTATCCTGGAAATCAAATCTGCGTAGCTATTAAAATGCCGCTGTTTCATCCTCATATTCCCGCCGGCACCCTTCCGCAACTACCAGTTACCGTAACGTTCGTCCCGCTCCTCGCCGACACTTCCCACAGCCC